TCGAGCGCCACTCTCAAACGATTCGAACGGCATTCAGCGGAATCGGGCACGAACTTATGCACTGATCCAATATCTGCCGCCGTTCCCGACGTACAACGGACCAAAGTAATTATACACCACGCCGTACGAAAAGAGAAAATGCTACTGCAAGGGAATCTGCTAGAGTCGGAATGAACACCGTGCGCGACAATCACAAGAGGCTCACGAAGCTTACAATGAACATCAACGCTTGCGAAGAAGACAAATTCCTGCTCAGGAAATTCATGAAGCAAGAGAAAAACGTTTGACTGCTCAACTTTCAACGTCAGCAAAAACAACCATTGCCTCCTTCGAAAACCGTCTGAAGAGAAAACAAAAAATGTTGTTTACCCAGCTGGGTTACATTGAAAAAATGAAGACAAATCGCTTAATAAATTATTTTCAATACTGTTACGATTTTGCTGAATCAACCTCGATGATTTTCTGAATCCTTCGGGTATGATCTCTGGATTGTTAAATAAAACTCGCCAACTTAATTTGCAGTTTCTTTCGTTGCAAAGAATTTATCTAATGTCCTTTTTTTACTCAGTAATTCACAATTCAATTACAAGGAATTTTACTAGCTACAATCACTTGCATAAACTTTTACAATTTACTCTACTTAAATGTAATTCCAACGCGTTTACTTTACGACTTTACAGATGTTAACGCCAACGAGTTCACTTTGTAACTAACTTGACTTTGCAGCTGAGTGTCGCCCTTATATAGCAGTCGGCTGCTCGTAGACGAAAGTGTAGAATAATCGAGTTGTTCGCTATCGAAGGTTCTCGTTTTATCGTTTCTAGAATGTACTAGTTATCGGCTTCTCTCTTTCATCTGACATTCGCCTCGCATTTTCGCAACAATACAATATGAATTATATTTTCTTTTCTTTTCGAAAAACATGATTTCACACAGGGCAACGCCTGCGGGGTCAGCTAGTATAATATATATGTATATATGTTCTTTTAAAGATGTATGCATATATCAAGGAAATTTTGTAAATAGACGGAATATTGTTGTTTTTGAGATTGCTGCAAATTCTTTATAAAAACTTCATAATTTTTCTATATGTCGTTTAAGTCAATTAAAGTTCCCAAAGCTTTAAAATTCAATCTAACTACTATAATCTATATTTCAATCAGTAACCAGATAATCTTTTTACGAGAATAAGCCTCAGTCTTTTAAACTTCTATAGAAAACTCCATGGTTAGTTGGTTGAAAGAAGGGAATTAAAGGGCAAGGCCGAAAGCGGCTACACTTAAGCACTTGAAGTAGACTCATTTCGCTTTTCTTTATATCCAAGTTATGTGTTAGCGAACAGTACGCTTAATTTAATGAACTCTTTTATTTATGTCACTTAATGCTACGCTCTTCGTTGAAGGGTGTTCATCGAGGATTTTGGGTGTTCATCATAAGGCCACCACTTTAAATAACAATTAAAGTCTCTAAAAGATCTGAGATGGTCATCTATGATGATAGCCCCGCCAGAGGAACGAGGAACGAGGCGTACTAAGATTTTGTAACCTTATATTATATATTCTTGTGAAGTATGGTAATGTTCACGGTGTTTTCCCATGAAAAAAGCTGATATTCTCCTTACTTGTTTTCACATAATTAGACTTCGTGTTAATACATCTGCATCTGCTCGGATTTGTACCCACCAGCATAGATAAAAACATCTTCACTTGCTTTACCTTTCACTTATTCATGCCTACGTGGGGCTGCTACGATCAGCTCCTACGGAGTATTGGTTAATCAAGGCAGCTCACAGTAGCGCATGTAAGATTCTTTGATAACTCATATAAAGAATATTTGCCGCTAAGCATATGGCTCAAACAGGCAAATAAGTTTTTATTGATGAGTCAATTGACAAGATCAATTACGCAAAACTTTCCAACATTAGCCTCAACACTTATGTCACCCACCCAATCATTCTATTTTTCTATCTATAAAAGTGTTTCGCTTCTTTTTTCAAGGAATTTAGAGCGACTTTTATTTAATGTCAGAAATACACTCGGAGAGCTAGATACTAAAAAATTAATTTGTCATAATTTTGAATTTTAGTCGAACCAGGACACGAACCCTGGTCGCCTTCAGCATGGCAGTACGCAATGCGAGCAACTCGGCTTTCGCCGCCATCATAAAGCAAAATACTCGAGTTAATTTTTTTTAAAGTGAGGTTAGATTAAATTGGCTGCGAAGCTTAAGGGAGCCGTTTGTCTTTTGAATATCGCGGCTATGTACAAAGCGCTACAGAGCTCGTATCTGGCAACACTATACATAATTTGAAAGGTCTTGACATAACCTACAAAACAACGCTATGCATGATTAGTTTGGATATTGCATTCAACAGTTATAGACGTGTAAACATGGAGTTCACTGACGCCGAGAAACGTTCCGTGAGATTAATGGTGTTTTGAGCGATGGTACTCTATCACTTTGAACCGCGGAGGAATGGTTTCGTCGAATCATAACCGGTGAAAACGACACCATGGATAAGCCAGCCGGCGGAAGACCTGTGACGACAAATACCGATCAAATCATGGAATACATCGAGTTAGACCGGCATATGGCATCTCGTGACATCGCGCAGGAGATGGGAGTTAGTCACCAAACCATTTTGAACCATCTGCAAAAGGCTGGATACAAAAAAAAAGTTTGATGTTTAGGTGCCGCATAATTTGACGCAAAAAAACCTTCTGAACCGAAGCAACGCCTGCAATATGCTGCTGAATCGGAACGAACTCGACCCATTCTTGCAGCTGATGGTGACTGGCGACGAAAAATGGATCACATACGACAATATCAAGCGAAAACGGTCGTGGTCGAAGGCCGGTGAATCGTCCCAAACAGTGGCCAAGCCGGGATTGACGGCCAGGAAGGTTTTGCTGTGTGTTTGGTGGGATTGGAAGGGAATCATCCACTATGAGCTGCTCCCATATGGCCAGACGCTTAATTCTACCATCTACTGCGAACAACTGGACCGCTTGAAGCAGGCGATCGACCAGAAGCGTCCAGAATTGGCCAACAGGAAGGGTGTAGTGTTCCACCAGGACAACGCCAGACCACACACTTCGTTGATGACTCGTCAGAAGCTACGGGAGCTCGGATGGGAGGTTTTATCGCATCCACCATATAGCCCGGACGTAGCGCCAAGTGATTACCACCTGTTCCTGTCCATGGCGAATGCCCTTGGTGGTGTGAAGTTGAACTCAAAAGAGGCTTGTGAAAAGTGGCTGTCCGAATTCTTCGCAAATAAGGAGGGGGGCTTCTACGAGGAAGGTATTATGAAGTTGCCGTCTAGATGGAAACAGATCATCGAACAAAACGGCGCATATTTTAACTGAATCCGTAACATCCTGTAACACTTTTTATAAAGCATTGAATGAAGAGCAAAAAAGCGGAAGGGAGATATTTGACAACCTTATATGTAATTTTGATATATCATTTAATCTCTTGAGCTGTGAAGACAAGTTCTAGATGCGACCGAAAACTTTCCAGCATCTTACTCGCTTTCTACCATCCTTACTAATGCCCACTCCGCTCGCGTGAGGTGGCAAAAGGTTTTAACCTGCCAATCCTTTCGAGACTATATAAGTGTTTTCTTTCTTTGCTTTTGCCTTTCGGAAATTTCATTGCGCATCGTTTTTAACGACTTTGGTATTTCCATAACTTTTTCGGTAGCCAGACGAATGACAATATTGGGAAACTCCTCAATTATTTCATTTCAGGAAATGCGCTTTGGGTCACCACATCTAAGTCACAACTAACCGCCTCCTTGGCTTGAATGCCGCTGTGTTAAACCAATACGGTTGGCTGCCCAAAAAATTGACCACACACTTGGCAGAATCTTTAAATGTTAGCTCAAACCCTTCAGCCCGTTGAAGAGTAGCGTATTCGTTCTTGTATATGTTAACCACCTGAGCAGCTTGACTTTTTTTTTATTTCGCGTAAATCTTTACGTATGAAGAACTTTTATTCATGGTAAGATGGCGAGCTCTATCCGCGCTGTTGCTAAGTTATTAACGTTTGCGCCATTGGAGATTTTGTTGAATGCTTTACTTATGTTCAGGAAAACTCCTATACATTCAAGGTAAGCGAATAAAGGATGGTCTCAGTGAGTGAACTTTTACTGAAGGAAAGAGGTTACACTTTGTAGAAAAGTCATAAATTTATTACTCGCCTAACAAACTTTTGAAACGGTAAGTTTAAAAAAAAAATTTTGTAAAATCGGCAGCATACCAAAATTGCTATGGCCTTCAAGTGCCGTGATTCTCCTAAAAAATATTCCAAAATTCGGTTTCACTCATTATCTTATACACTTATTTATCACTTTTGCTTTTACTTTGCCTATGAAGCTGAATTTACAAACGCATATGTATGTATGTATGTATGTATGCATTGCAAGGATTTTAATCGCTTTAAAAAAGTTTCTCCTTGCACTTAACAAACAAATTGATTAAAAATAAAAACATTTTCATATTTTTTTTTTTGTTTACTACTATTAGTAAATAGTAGCATTCCATTAGTGTTAGATATTATACATGCACATGCATATAAATTTTACCAAACCGTTAATCACTGAAATGAATATACGAATTTACAAGTAAATATAATATAAGTATATACATTATCTTCGATGGAGGTTTTTTATTCTAGGTCAAAGGTATTAATTAATTTCAGTTTCATCGCTCAAAGCCATATTTCATTAAACATACACATATGCATATGTGTTCATAAAATGAACCCACGAATATATACATACATCTACATAGATGACGGTCGATGATGTGATCCGCTCTATTTCCAACATAACAGCACAGAGCTCCTTATCAGCATTAACTCATATGTATATTTACATGTAAGTAGTACCAAATTCTCTTGAAAATGTACACAACCATATGCATTTCTACAATATACAATATAAGTATATGTCATATATATACAGCCTGCGAATATCACCAAGAATTAAGTTGTAAACCTAAAGAAGATTTGCTTTCGGAATCATTAATGAAAAGTTTGCGAAGTCGAAAAGACGTGTGAGTGACAAAAATTTTCAAAAAAACACGTGAAAAGTTCATTATATACATACATAACTGGTAGTAGTAGGTGATTTAAGACAACATGAAAGGAACCGTAGCCATTGTTTTGGCGATCTGCGTCTGTGCGGCGGCAGCAGGTAAATCGAATAATGATTTTTTAATTAAGAAAAGCTTGAGCACAATTAAGCTTATACATAAAGGTAGAAAGTTATAAATATGCTTTTCGAAATTTTAAAAATTTTTTTTGAAATTTCGCATTTGATATTTCCCACCACGAAAGATTTAAATTTACATAAAGATTATGACGCTCCAGTGGTATTTAGAGGGAACCGAACTTTTACGTATATACATATAAAGGGCATTTCCTTTAGACATGTGGATTTCAAAAAGAAATATAATTTACTGTGAATTTAGTTTATTTTAATTAAATTTAATTATAAAGATTGAGGTTTGTCATAAAGTTTTTTTTCTGTTCCAAAGCGTCGATCATCTTGGGATTATCTGCGTAGACAAACGTATTCACATAATCCCACGAAAATTAGTCGATTTTCGAGGTCAAGCCACAGTCCCACAATGGGAGATAATACACTCACCAAAAGTTTTTTTCAATAAATTAATTATTTCGTTGGCTGTATGGTGCTACAATACTAAAAGTGGTGAAACCAAAATTCAGCCATGCAAACTAATGATTCCCGCTGTGAGCTTCATCGCTGAATAACATTTTCTTGTAATGCGTTACGTGAACCGAATTTTCTTTTAGAAATAAATTTTTAATTATAGAAATGCACATTCATACATATATATTGGAAGTACAAACAAGTACAAACCTTTCGTATTGAAAATGGTGTTTTTCTTTGAGAAAAAATTAAAATGCAAGCGCTTACTTTTTCCCATAGCTCTGCTAATTTTCGAATACCATTTCGAAAAAATTTTGTGCTTCTTGTTCTAAATCTAGTTCTTGACTCTTTATTCAATTTCTGCGAAAAAAAATCGTGCGGGTAACCCCTAAACTGTTTTGCATTCTTCGAAAAAAGGCCAGCGGTACATGATTCCACCAGGACGCTTTGTATCTGCTACGCTAATATCCCTACCTTTGAAAAGTCGAAACCACTCGTGCATGACCTATCTGTCGGCGCAGATCGAGCACAAGTTTGCAGATTAAACAACCCTTTGAGTATAGAACGAATTAGTCGTTGCAGTCGATGGTGATAGCCTCGCCAGCGGACCCAAAACAAGCTAACTCAATCGCATTTTCATTACCTTCTACATTCATCAATAACCATGTTTCTTGTTCTGCCGCTCATTTAGGGCCCTCAGTATAGCTGTCGATAATTTCGAATGCCTTACCTTCAGCACGTTCCTTACTGCCTTACTTTTCTCGCGAATTCTGAGTCGCTCATATGATAATTGACGTGTTATTCATAATCGTTCGTGGCATGGTTAGCATACGTATACGTTGTACGTGTCTAAGCGGTTTAATATGGCACTTCTTCCTTAATGTCACTCACATACTGGCGCCTATTTGTACCTTTTTGACAGACATACCAAGCAACACACTCCTCTAGTTTATTTATATCACAGATTGCACCGACATATCATACTTTGTCAGGTTGGGGTATATAAAAATAGTGGCTTGAATTGGTGAGCTTTATTTTTCTTGAAGCGAGAAACAGATTTTTTAAAGCTTGAAACCGTATCTAGTGCCAGTGACCAGTACCATTCGGGATATTTGCCTGCAAGCCATGCTTATAACACACAAATTGTGAATTTAAACTGAAATAGTGGTGATAAACTGATTACTTATTTAGTATAAGTGATTTTGTCACCTCCGCAAACGTGCCGCCTGTTGGTAGATATATACCACAAGCAGCCAAGTATGTACTGGTTACTCCGTCAGCAGGCAAATGGCATCAATGGTATGGTAAGAAAGTATATATATATATTGGAAAATATGTGATCAAATAAATTTTGTAGATGTAGTAAGTAGGATGTAAAGGAAGTAAAGGTGTTGAAATACTTATAAATTACATATTCAATGTATACTTATAAATATATATATATATATATATATTACTACAATATTACGTATACCCCTTTAAAAAATGTTGACTGAAAGTTAAAATGAATTTGTAATAATAAAAAAAGCTTTTCAAATATTTAAAGCAACACCTATTATATACATATGAATACATAAATATCAATATACACACATATGTATTGTATGTATATTACGAAATCCCGTTTCGTTCAGATAACTTTTGACCCAGCGACGAAAAGTTTCATAACACCAGACAATGTCGCTAGTGCAAGTGAAGCAAAAAATTTAAACATGCCTACAAAATATACACTAATATTATGTACTTAATTTAAAAAATATGTCTGTTATCACTTTTAATTTTAGAAATATTATACATATGTACGTATATTCTTATAGACCATTATGTGATCACACAGTTTTCTGTTCTAATCTGCAGTGATTTCGATTAACTTCAAGTGATAAACCTCTGATTTGCTTAATATTCATGAAAAAATTAGAGGTTATAAACAATATATTATATTATAAAGATTTCAAGCTTAAATATAAGTTTGAAAAACTTTAAACATTCAAATAATTTCACAAGTAGTATTTTGTATGAAACAAATTTCTTCACACTTAATTCCTTATTTATTTATATCACATTTTTATCGTTGCTGTTCCTTAGGTATTTTATAAAGTTCGTCAAATATCTCCCTTCCGCTTTTTTGCGCTTCATTCAATGCTTTATAAAAAGTGTTACAGTGATTGGATTTAGTTAAAATATGCGCCGTTTTGTTCGATGATCTGTTTCCATCTAGACGGCAACTTCATAATACCTTCCTCGTAGAAGCCCCCCTCCTTATTTGCGAAGAATTCGGACAGCCACTTTTCACAAACCTCTTTTGAGTTCAACTTCACACCACCAAGGGCATTCGCCATGGACAGGAACAGGTGGTAATCACTTGGCGCTACGTCTGGACTATATGGTGGATGTGATAAAACCTCCCATCCGAGCTCCCGTAGCTTTTGATGGTCTGGCATTGTCCTGGTGGAACACTACACCCTTTCTGTTGGCCAATTCTGGAGGCTTCTGGTCGATGGCCTGCTTCAAGCGGTCCAGTTGCTCGCAGTAGATGGTAAAATTAAGCGTCTGGCCATATGGGAGCAGCCCTTCCAATCCCACCAAACACACAGCAAAACCTTCCTGGCCATCAGTCCCGGCTTGGCCACTGTTTGGGACGATTCACCGGCCTTCGACCACGACCGTTTCCGCTTGATATTGTCGTATGTGATCAATGGGTCGAGTTCGTTCCGTTTCAGCAGCATATCGCAGGCGTTGATTCGGTCCAGAAGGTTTTTTTTGCGTCAAGTTATGCGACACCGAAACATCAAACTTTTTTTTGTATCCAGCCTTCTGCAGATGGTTTGGTGACTAACTCCCATGTCCTGGGCGATGTCAGGAGATGCCATGTGCCGGTCTAACTCGATGTATTCCATGATTTGATCGGTATTTGTCATCACAGGTCTTCCGCCGGCTGGCTTATCCATGGTGTCGTTTTCACCGGCTCAGAATCATCGAAACCATTCCTCCGCGGTTCGAAGTGATAGAGTACCATCCCCCAAAACACCATTAACACACGGAACGTTTCTCTAGCGGATTTGCCTTTAACGAATAAAAACTTTAAAATAGCGCGAATTTCGGAGTTAGTGAACTCCATGTTTACACGTCTATAACTGTTGAACGCAATATCCGAACTAATCATGCATAGCGTTGTTTTGTAGGTTATGTCAAGACCTTTCAAAAATGGTGTTGCCAGATACGCTTTGTACATAGCCGCGAAATTCAAAAGACAAAAAAGCGGAAGGGAGATATTTGACAACCAAAATACATATATAATTGGCCCTTTGTTTATATTTAAGCCGCCTCCGAACGGCTGCTGGGTTTTTTATGAGGAGCTTTTGTTTCATGTCAGAAAAACACTCGGAGTGGTTGATATTCCCATCCGAGGGACGACCGCAGCTGGAAAATTTTGTTTAATTTTTTATTTAAATCAATTTTCTGCAACTTTTCAATGTCGTACCAGGACTCAAACCGGTCCTTCCGAGTCACAGTGCGCAATGCTAACCACTTTGCTACCGCGGCCGTCGTTGGGTATTTTATAGAGTGTTTTAGACAAGTGATTTTCAGTTAGGCAAAACCTTTTGAACTTAGTCTTTTTGCCAGCTGTCACTTCATTGACATGCAGTTCGGTTTGCCATTTCGAAATATACAAACTCATTTCGGAACAACCCTTGAAATTTCTGCAAATTTAATTTAATCGCCCAGAACAGTCGGTAATTCTGGCAACAATGCATCAGCTTCGCATCAACAGAGACGCTGTGCAGTGCGCCCTGAAGACGTTATTGTTGCTGTGGAACAGAGTATCGAAGAAGGCACGAATTAGTCCACCAGCGATCGCGAACAGCAATTGAAGCAATTGAAGCTGTTCGCATCCAATTTATGGTGGATTTTGCGGGAGGATCTTCACGGCCTAACAAAACACAGCTTTTGCAAAGATTGACGCTGAACAACCATAAAGCGGGTCGAAAGTTAGGTGAATGGTTTTAAAACGAAATGGCCGCCGAACAAGATGATGAAGTTCAGTTTTGGTTGAAAGGGTACGATAATAAATAAAGTTTCAAACGTTCAAAGTGATGATGATCCGAAAGTCGATTTTTAGACGCTGTTACATCCTTAAGAAGCCACTGTTTGGTGTACTCTACGATCACTCTAGGGAGTCACTGGTACATATTTTTTCAAAAGTGAAGGCTACAGAGCCATGATTATTGCCTGTTTATGTGGACGATTTTTGGTTCCAACAAGACGGCCAACTTTTGTGAACGCTTGATCTCTCGCCAGCTGTCCTCTGCACCTGTACTTTTAACCATGAAATGGATAGCTCTATATACATATATTTATATATAAACTTTTCCTCTATTTTTTCTTAATTCTTTAAAAATTATAATATTGTAATCCTTCTCCTATCAGCTCAGTCTTGGATTGAAGTTTCCGTTTTTCCTCTTTTTGAAACTAGTGAGAGTTACAGTCAGCGTCGAAAGAAAGTGTACACCTTTTCACTCCTTCTTTCGGTGCAAAAAAAATAAATTTTTTTAAATCAATTATCCTTAACAAATGAATAAATATTGTTCCAATAGGAAATTAACAACAATCTAAAGAAAGCTTTACAAGAACAAAAACAGTACGGTGAATATTTACGAAATTCATAAGCTAATACTTTGTCTGTCTGCCCTTGGCACTGATAACTGCATCCAACCTTCTTGGCATTCCCAGACCCCACAGTTGCTCAATAGGGTTGAGGACCAGTGATTGTGGGCAGTGATGCAGTGGTTTAGGTGTACGGTAAAGCAACCATTCCTTTATTATTTTTGCCGCATGCTTAGGATCGTGGATCAAGTTGGAAGTTCTAAGATTGGACTAAGCCCGATTTCTCAACACTAAGAAACAAATTTTCTTTGAAAATATTGCGGTAATCAATTTGGTTCATTATGCCATCAATGAACACCATCCTTCTCACTCCCCTTGCCGCTATGCACCACCAAACAATCAGCGACCACCCACCATGCTTTACGGTGTAAGTAATGTTTTTCTGTTCAAACTCTTGATTTTTGTTCCGACAAACTTTAGTATTTTTTTCTTCCCGAAAACTTCGAACTTGCCTTCGTCAGACAGAATTTCATTGTTCCAAAACGATTTGCTCTTAGTTTCATATTTTTCCGCGAATTCCAATCTCCGCTTTTGGTGCTGCATAGATATGTGAGGCTTTTCCCTCGGTACGCGACCATACAGACCAAAAGAATGCAATGCGCGCCTGATCGTGCTGGCATTAACATTCATGGATCTATCTTCGCAGCTCTCAGAACTGACTGTATTTGAGTATTATTAAGCCATTTTGGTCTACCCTTTTTTTTTTTGTATACCGATTGAAGAGAATAAGTTCAAGTTCCACGTAATTAAAGTTGACACAGAGTCATTATCGATTAGACCATTACCTAAGACAGAAACCGAAAAGCTCGATAATTTTTATTTCATGCAAAGAAATCGATTTTTTTTATTGGAAAATCGGTTTTTGATTTTTTCAAAATGAAGTTTTTGAAAACTTACGTTACTCCGAAATCTATTGAAAATTTAAAGAGGGAAAAAATCAAAATTGTTTTAGAATCAAAACCTGTTTAAAAATTCATTTAACGAAAACTTTAAATATACACTCGCCATTTTTTTAAGAATCTAGTGTGTGAATAAAGCTCACATTTTTTTCGGAACGGTAACTAAAAAAAAGCTTACAGTAATTTATTGGTACCAACGTGTTCCGAAATTATTGGCGCGATAAATTTCTGGCGCCGATTCAGCACAGTGAATTCATTCTATGGCCTTTAGCTTAAATGGTCCAATTGATTCAAAGGATGTGATGTCAGGACATTATTTTTCGCTAAATTATCTACTGCTTTTACTTTTATGCTGAATTCGGTTATTATTTAAGAAAATTTAGTTTTCATGTTGTTTTCTGTGTACGAGTTTTATATTATGTTATTGTTTTTTTTGTTTTCACTAAACGAAATTTATCTTTTCTTTTCAGAGGAGCTCGAGAGCAGGTAAATTTATCCACACGGAAGATTCTGCGCAAACTTTTAAATTTATATTTAAAAATTATATTTTCTCAATTAATTTTGAAATTAATATGTATATATGAATGTTTTTTTTTATTCTTTCTCAAGGCGTGACTTTCACAAATTGTAAGTACCTGATCAATAAAGGAATCATTAGAGCATAATGAACTGCATTCCTAATTGGCTTGGTACAAAATTATGTTTAACAATATACCAATAGAAGGAAAAAAAATTAAAACTAATTCATTAAATTCATATTTAAAAAATTATATTTCACTTGAACGTACGCAATTGCTAACCAAATTCATAATATTTTGATTACATATAGACATTATAGCCAACATCAACAGACGGTGCAAGAAGCTAAGCAAAAACTTGGAGATGTAGCAACTGGTTTCGATGGGTATGTAAATACATACAAGTTTATGAAAAACTATTTATAATACCACTTGACGATTCAGAGCTGTAGTTGCCGAGTGTGTAGTGTACTGAAAGTTGTTTTCCAAATCCGGTCACCCAACAATATCTCTAAACATCTAAAATTCCTCGATTGTTTTCTCATCAAAATGTTTTCAATATTTTAATCATACTTTCTGTATACTTTTTTTAGCCCCCCCCTCCCCCCCCTAAGACACAGCCTATACTTAATATAAACTTGTCTTTCGCAAAGGAAGTGCGTTAATATTTCATGTACTCCCTTCTCTCTGAAAGTCGTTTGATGGTATGATCAGCCGCTTTGCGTAGCTAACCAATAGAATATGTCCTTTAAGAAAACCAACAATTTAACGATATCGTTATAATACGATGGCCCATTGTAATAACTAAGACATTTTGAGATGGCATGAGAAACTGATGGAGAAAGCCTGGGCTTTTCTCACCCGTAATCTTATTAGCATAGTCCATAGTCCAGGTCTTTTTTCGTTGCGTGGTTACCCATAAAGATACATCTAGTTAGAATGTGGTTTGCAGGGAAAAACTAAACGCATATATTATATATATTATTAAATTATTATGTTAAAATCTTAATCCATATATCAAGCGAACTGATTTTTTCGACCCTGGATATTTAACAAAAAAAAATTTTTTCAGCAAAAAAAAATGTTAAAGCAAATGGAACTAGAACATCAAGTTCTCGGAACATATCAGTTTCTGGTCCACTTCCGAATAAAGCAGCTATTGGGTTGCCCAAAAAGTAATTGCGGATAAAAGAAAGTAAATGCATTTTTAATAAAACTTAGAATAAACTTTAATCAAATATATAATTGCCATTTTGTTCGATAACCTTTTGCCATCTTCCTGGCAAATTTAGTATTCCACGCTCATAGAACTTCTGGCCTTTATCTACAAAAAACTGAACCAAGTGCGATTTTATAGCCTCATCATTGCCGAAAGTTTTACCATTTAAGGAGTTCTGCAAAGATCGAAATAAATGGTAGTCTGGTGGTGCAAGGTCAGGGCTATATGGTGGATGCATCAAAAGTTCCCAGCCAAGCTCACTCAGTTTTTGGCGAGTGACTAAAGATGTGTGCGGTCTAGCGTTGTCCTGGTGGAATATGACACCTTTACGATTGACCAATTCTGGTCGCTTCTCCTTGATAGCTGTATTCAATTTGTCCAATTGTTGACAGTAAACATCCAAATTAATCGTTTGGTTCCTTGGAAGCAGCTCAAAATATACGACACTCTTCCAATCCCATCAAACAGACAGCATAACCTTCTTTTGGTGGATATCAGCCTTTGAAGTGGTTTGAGCTGATTCACCATGCTTGGACCATGATCGTTTTCGACTAACGTTGTTGTAAACAATCCATTTTTCATCTCCAGTTATGATTCGTTTTAAAAACGGATCGAATTCATTGCGTTTAAGGTGCATATCACAAGCGTTGATTCGGTGTGTTAAATGAATTTCTTTCAATACATGTGGTACCCAAATATCAAGCTTTTTCACCAGTCCAAGACTTTTTATGTGATAATGAACGGTTGATTTTGGTATATTTAACTTCTCTCCTATCTCACGCTCAGTTACATGACGATCCAATTCGATTAATGCTTTGATTTGGTCATCATTAATTTTATTTGGCCGACCTGAACGTGGCTCATCTTTAAGTGAAAAATCTCCAGAACGGAATTTGCGAAACCAATTTTGACACTGTCTTCCTTTTAAGGCTTCATCACCATACACATCTCGTAACTTTTTAGCAACCTGCTCCGCGTTTTTTCCTTTACGGAAATAATAAAATAAAATATGACAAAAATGCTCCTTTGTGGGCTCCATATTAAAATTGACGCCAAACAAACAAATGTAAACAAAATTTCGCGCACTTTTTTCTAAAGCTAGCTAAAAGTAACAGCTGATAACTGACAGAAGAAAGAATGCAATTACGGAGTCTCAAGTCGTTGAAAAAATTTGTCAACGCCGACTATATGAAACATCCGCAATTACTTTTTGGGCAACCCAATATTATGGCCAAGAATTAGCTTAATTATAAAGACGCCATGTTTTAAAAATGATTTCGGGCAAAGTCACCCCCGCGGCTATTATAATCACATTGAAATCTTTTGCGATGCGAAGAAGATTGCGTAGTACCATCCTTCCTGCTGGACGGTGCTGCGCAGTGATAGTCTCAGTAGATATGACTTTTAGTACTTCGATAATATACATATGTATATATATGTCATATACATATTCTACAGCCAAGACCTACTGAGAGCGCTCAATGAGGTTATGAGATAGAGGGGAAGAGAGAAAGAGGAAGGGAGGGTGATAGGGAGAAGAATTTCTAACCGTATATTCGACATATTAGCGTATAAGGAGAATTGCAACTCTGGCAAGTCAGGATATAAGTCACTGTAACCGCTGCTTTCTTACTGCAGACAGCCTAGATATCCGATAAAGCTATTCAACTGTTTAGCCAAATTGGATTTCTCAACTTGAGACAAGACCATGTGTAACACTGTTTTTATTATCCTACCTTTCATTAAGGTTTGTTGTTTCTTTTCGATAGATTGTTTATCACAGAATCCATAAAAGATATGCTTTTTTTCTCATTTAACTGTTTCAAGATAGAGCAGCTCTGTTTAAATTATAACAAGTTCTCCTTATAAGTCTTGTGCATATCTAAGACTTATTTTAATTTTAATTTATTGTTTATTAGTCAGCACCACGGTTCATTTGAAGAAGTCAGCTCTTATGGCGGCGTTGGTACAGTCGGACTTTCCAGTGGTAGTGGCGGCTATGGCAGCAGCGGCTATTCCGGTCAGCAAAGCTCATCTGGTCTGGCTGGTCTATCAGCAGTTGATTTGAATAGTGGTTCTTCTTTTGGTGCCTCTACCAACAGCGCTGCTTCATTCGGTGCCAGCCACTCAGCTAACTTTGGTAGCTCATCTTCTTTCGGTGCAAGTTCGAATTTCGCTAGTGGCGCGAGTAATGGCGCCTCTGTTGTGATACCCGTGACGTCAGGTGGTGCCACAAGTAGTATTACTGAGCAAACTGAAAATGTGCATCAACAAGTTATTCCCGAAGTTGTCGCAACCGGAAGCGGCTCTGCTGGTCATGAAAGCTATGTTCATGAAGAACGTCGTTCGGAAAGTCTACCAGTTATCACCTACGCTGCCCCAGCTGGTGGTTCTGAAAACTATGTACACCATGAGGAACGTCGTATACAATCTCAAACTGCGGCTCCTATTGTAACTTACTCACCATCAGGTGGTCATGAAAGCTATGTACATCATGAGGAGCGTCGTACGCAAAGCCAACCTGTTATCCAATACACTGCACCAGCTGGCGGCTCCGAAAACTATTACCATCACGAGGAACGACGTGTTGCAGCTCAACCAGTTATTCAATACACTTTGCCCAGTGGCGGTGCTGAAAACTATGTACACCATGAGGAACGCCGTGTACAAAGCCAAGCTGTGCCTGTTATCCACTACAGCGTACCATCTGGTGGATCTGAGAAATATGTATCCATTAAAGAGGAACGCGTTCAACAAGCTGCACCCGTCCAAGTTATTGCTCCTACTGGCCACGAGTCGTATGTGAAATATCGCAAAATAACCACTGCAGCTCAACCACAAGTGATCGTACCAGCTGTAGGTAGTACGCACTCCTCCTATGTGCAACACTCCGCGAACGCTGCATCACAATTAAACAATTTAGTGAGCGGCGCATTGACTGCAGGTCAGACCGGTTACACTGGCATCGGTAAGCTTTACGAGGACTAGCATAAGTTATTGTGAGTATTTTATTTAATTTCTGTGTTTAAGGTTCAGGTGCTTTAACTGCCGCTAACTCCGGTTTCGGTACGCAAAGTCATTTTGGTGCTCAAAGTGGATTCAGCGCACAGCACGGATTTGGTGCACAAAGTCAGTTCGGAGCCCAACATGGTTTAAGTAGCGGATACGGTGCTGCTAGCAACGCTGCACTTTCTCAAGGCGTTGGCTTTGGCGCACAATCAAAGTTTGGCTCACAGTTTGGTGCTGAATCCAGCTACAACTCGAAATTCGGTTCAAGTTTCGGCGCCGATTCTTCTTTTGGCGCAAACTCAGGTTTGTCTGCTGGTCTAAGCGCCTCAGGCTTACATCATTATATCGCCGAATCCGAACGTTTGGCCAAGGCTCAAGCTCAAGACATTGGCTACGGTGGAGTACGTGCTGGAGGTAGCCAATTGGCTGATTTCTCAGCTGGATATGGCAGCAATGCTGGTCTTGTCGGTGGCGCTGGCGTCGGTGCTGGTGGTTTTAAGACGAAATCTTGGGAAAAGGCATCCAAATGGTCTTCACAATCTGAGGTAAGTTGATCGGCGATAAGTTTATTAAATTGTTGAAACTGATGGTTGATTTACAAATTTAGTTTGGTCCTGACGGTCAAGTGAAGAACTTCAAGGAATTATCTACTGGAGAAAGTGAGAACTACGACATCAATGGCAAGCGTGTCGGCTACAAGGCAGCGACGACGACCCTCGATGACAATGGCAAGGTTAGCAGTTACAGCCTCCACACATAAGGTTCATTGCAATTGTGTAGTCAATACATTTAAATGTGTTCTTTCACGCCTAGTTAGTTTGCGTATTTTTTTATTCTAATTTTAAAGTACACAAATCTAATCGATAATAAAAATTTGTTAATATAAAACAAGCTATGTGTTTGAAAATGTAATATAACTTAGCTTATGGGGTTTGGTTTTGAACAATTTATTTGCGCGAAAATGGTTTCTCCAACTTCGCATCCACCACTTTGAGTACTGAGCTCATCGGTTGTAAGACACCCTTCAAGCCGTGACGGTTCTCGCGACGTCTACGATTATCCACCACAGAAGTCATGCAATAGCAGGGCTTCCAGCTGGGCGTCCTTTCAGCGTTCAGTGTGCTAGGTCGATATTGTTCAATGTAGTTACGCTCTGTGGTCCATACATTAGAAGAGGGCACATAACTGTTCCAGCCATCTGTTCGTCTGTAACCAGAACCACCACTACTACTGCTACTTCGTCCATGATCAGTAGCCACATAGACAGGCACGTTATTTGAATAATATGGTGGGTAATAGTAAGCAGGGCCGGTATTATGAATCCTACCTTCGTAGGTGCGTCGTTCAGAAGAAACATTGGGCGTCCACTGGTTTTTCGTATAGTAGGGTCTACGTGTCTTCTGTGTGGGTTCATTTCGGCCTTTATAAATTGGTACACTTGCATCCTCTAAGAGGCAATTCGGTTTTATTAATTAGTAAAGATAATTTCATTGCTCCGGTTGTACAAACCTTTGTCTCCATCCTGTGCTGTACTCGTCGCATTGGCATCACTCTCCCCATCAGTTGATATTTCAAAGGTTATATCCGTGTGTATACCAACGCGTTTTTTGTGCTTGCCCACATCGGTTATTTCTACACTTTCAGTGTTCTCTAAATGGTAGCTTATTATTCAAACATTTTTGAACGCTGGGCTGAAAATTTGAACTAGATTATTTACCTTTGGACTTTTGTGTGTCTCCAGTGTCGACGGTCACCCGCACACCATGTATTTTTGGACCAGATTTACCGCCCCCACCGCTGCCTGCAGTTGTTGTGCCGTCAATGTCCCTTCCGCTGGCCCCATTTTCTGTGTTTCTAGTGCCGTCCACCCTGCCACCCTGTCCTGTGCCGGGCACTATTGGCACATCAGTGCTGTTTTTATTTTCCATGTCGTCAAAATCTAATTTCGGTGAGACCTTATTCGCTTGCGCTAATAATACAGAAAAGAAACAAAATTTTAAATTAGCAACTTCAGTCAAATTCACATAATTCGTTATAAAGAATTTATCTAATGTCCTTTATATTCTCAATAATTAATAATTCAATTACTATGCACTTTACTATTTACAATCACTATCATCAACTTTCACAATTTACTCTACTTAAATGTAATCTCCAACGCGTTTACTAAACGACTCTATACTGATGTTATCACCAACGAGTTCACTTTGTAACTAACTTGACTTTGCAGCTGAGTGTCGCCCTTATATAGCAGTCGGCTGCTCGTAGACGAAAGTGTAGAATAATCGAGTTGTTCGCTATCGAAGGTTCTCGTTTTATCGTTCTAGAATGTACTAGTTATCGGCTTCTCTCTTTCATCTGACATTCGCCTGGCATTTTCGCAACAATATATATAGATGACAAATATTGTTCAACAAGAGGATACTCAATATTGTCTTTTTTATTAATGTACGTTTTAATGCGTTCGTTCTCTAGTAGAATCAGTTTATTTAAGAACCGTAGTGCATTATCTATATATAAGATATTTGTCTATTCGAGTTATTTTACATTTTTTATTTAAGATTTGGTTTGATGTTCTTTTTCTAAATAAATCGCCGTCATGATAAGGTTCAAATTCTTAGAATGTACCGTTCGAAAATTCGTAATCTTTCCATTTGGGCTGAGGAGATACTAAACCATATGGGGAAAGCATATGTTAAGATTGGTCGAATTATTTGTTTTTTAGATATTAATTTTTATAACCGATCTTAAATCTTTTGCACGTTTTATAAGGCTTATATATTATATTATATATTTCGCGGCTATGTACAAAGCGCTACAGAGCTCGTATCTGGCAACACCATACATAATTAGAAAAGTCTTGACATAACCTACAAAACAATGCTATGCATGATTAGTTTGGATTTTGCGTTCAACAGTTATAGACGTGTAAATATGGAGTTCACTAACGCCGAAATTCGCGCTATTTTAAAGTTTTCCTTCGTCAAAGGCAAATCCGCTAGAGAAACGTTCCGTGAGATTAATGGTGTTTTGGGGGATGGTACTCTATCACTTAGAACTGCGGAGGAATGGTTTCGACGATTCAGAGCCAGTGTACACAACACCATGGATAAACCGGCCAGCGGAAGCCCTGTGACGACAAATACCGATCAAATCATGGAATACATCGAGTTAGACCGGTGTTTGGCATCTCGTGACATCGCCCAGGAGATGGGAGTTAGTCACCAAACCATTTTGAACCATCTGCAAAGGGCTGGATACAAAAAAAAGTTTGATGTTTGGGTGCCGCATAATTTGACGCAAAAAAACCTTCTGGACCGAATCAACGCCTTCGATATGCTGCTGAAACGGAACGAACTCGACCCATTCTTGAAGCGGATGGTGACTGGCGACAAAAAATGGATCACATACGACAATATCGAGTGAAAACGGTCGTGGTCGAAGGCCGGTGAATCGTCCCAAACAGTGGCCAAGCCGGGATTGACGGCCAGGAAGGTTTTGCTGTGTGTTTGGTGAGATTGGAAGGGAATCATCCACTATGAGCTGCCCCCATATGACCAGACGCTTAATTCTACCATCTACTGCGAACAACTGGACCGCTTGAAGCAGGCGATCGACCAGACGCGTCCAGAATTGACCAACAGAAAGGGTGTAGTGTTCCACCAGGACAACGCCAGACCACACACTTCGTTGATGACTCGTCAGAAGCTACGGGAGCTCGGATGGGAGGTTTTATCGCATCCACCATATAGCCCGGACGTAGCGCCAAGTGATTACCACCTGTTCCTGTCTATGGCGGTTGTTAAGTAAATATATTGTTGTTCTGACTTCATCCGCATTCGTAAATTGCTTGTAACTTACTCTAGTTCAGTGTGAGGTACACACTCGTTTTGTCAATACGACTTATAAGGGCCTCTCCATCAGCTGTAAGGTATTTACTGAATCTGGTATTATTGGTAACCTGTGGTTAGCAATATCAAAAATTGACTGTGTGATCTTTTCATGAAAATCATGATCTCCAATATTTAAGTCTTGTTTATGCACTTGTTCAAATCTACAAGCTTATTGCGTTCACCTTATCAACTTCACCCTTCATAACAAAAGAGCCATCTGACTGAAGAACATCCCCATCGAAGTCTGAAAGATTTGCATCATCTATTACGAGATCTGGTAATTTTAATCTATTATTAAGCGTACATAAATTTTTAATTTTTTTGTAGATCTTGTTGTTCATACGTATTTTCTCAAAATATTTTTTCTTAGTAACTCTCTTCATTTAAACGAATCCCATCAGATATAATTTTGCTAAGGTTACGAACTGTTGCTATAAGTATTTCTTAGCGTCTTGGATCTATACATCTGAACACTGCACGACGCAATTTCTTTTTTTTTCTTTGATAAAGTCTAATATTATTGATGGTAGTGAAATTAAACCTTTACTACGTATTTCTATCTTAGGAACTGCTTCTGAATTTGTGACTTTTTCCCATGCAACACTCAAATGAGATATGCAGTTGTCTATTTCAATCGTGGATGCAATACGGTCTAATGCCAAACAGTTGTTTTTGTTTTTTTAACATTGCAGATAGCGGTTGATTTAATTCATCACTGTTAATATTATTATAATCAATTATTTTTCGGGGAGGTTGTCGCTGAAATCTTACACGCCGACATCACAATGATCTGATAAATTGCCTTTTTTGGAAACAATCGGAATTTTATTGCATGGTTTAGATATATGTTGCGCTATAAACAAATCAAGAAGGTTTTAAAATCATTTACAAAATCACACACGCATACTTCAAAATTGGAATCTTGTCTCTTTGGTGGAATCCATGACAACCGAGAAATAAAAGAAGTGCTAAACTCCATCGTCTAAAAGTCCAAAATATTTGGGCCCAGCTAAACTAGCCTAACTGTGAAGAATATGGCAGCCCACAAATAATTTTAGCACAAGTTTATGTGGATACCACCTGCTTCTTTACAACCAGGGAAAATTGGGACAAATGACGGGTTATAACTGAATATGAGGATATTTATACATATATACGTGTACTAATGAGCCTAAACGACAGGCAGGCTTGTTCTGTGATATCCCTAATAAAAAAGACTCGCCTTTGAAAGTTTTCTAAACTAACCAACCAATATGTACATACATATATGTATGTGCAGTATCACTCGGTTAAGTAGATATTTGCAAATTAAAGTTGTAAATTTCTAGTATTTTAATATCTTATTATTATTGAGAAAAAGAAATACTTAATATCTTAAGCGCTTGAGCTTTTTCCCATCTTTTCACAAATTTATTATATAAATTAATATATATATTAAATATATAGAATTATATATACTTGGATATTTTATAAAAACAGTTTCATCACCCGCCACTGCGACCTAACGCTCTGTGTGGCAGCAACTTTTTCTACCGTAAAAGGATTGTCCGAGTCACGGTGGTTAACTCTTTGATGACCGTGCTTAGAGCAGGCATTAGTTGTACTCAAAAAGTTAGTGCATATAATGTTTCCTTCAGCAGCATAGTTTTGGATAGTGTATAACTAACCAACCAATATATTACTTTTTTTATATAGGGACACTTAAGTTCGAATCTGGATAAAATCAGATACGATTTTGCAAATATCAAATTAAATCGTGCAATTTTCAGCCCGTGACGGCTTTAATAAGCCGGCCCAAATGCACAATTACACCCACAAATATTTGGGCACAGAAATGGTGTAAATACATCACATAAAATGGACGAATGGTTAACTAAACGTACTGACATTCGGATTCACACGGTTCGACTTCTGTGGGGGAATTCTCTATCGTAAAATCGCTATAATATTTTCGGATCACTAAAATGACTTAATTTTACACACATTAGAACGATTATCGAATCGTTGAAAAGACATAACTATTTGAACATTCGCTATTCTCTAACACAATACAATGATATTCGGATCGCAAAATTGACTGAGCGATAATTTCAACTATTAATATTTGGTGTATTTATTTTTAACGATATTCGCCATCGCTGTTGTCGTAAACTACGCGACAAATCGCTAACTAAGCGATAAATGTTTATCGATAAGGATATATTAAATTTGAAATAAAGTAAAGTAAATCGGGAAATTGCCCAAGTTATATAAAAATCAAATTAAAATATTAAACAAAAATGACTTTGGGTTTTTGGCATAAGTTTCATCCTAACATGAGTTGAGGTATTGGATTGAAGTTCACTTCGGGAAGTTGAATATCGTTTCCACTTAATTGTAACTGAATTTCTTGATAGCCAACTAAAAGACAAAAGAATAACGGAAAACCAGAAAAAATTTAACTTTTAACTTTTATTTTTTTCAGTTTTAACACTTTTAAAATGTTTAAAGGTTCTAGCCGCCTTACAATTCTTTGCAACTGGATGTTACCAACGTCCCGTCGGAGAGCAATTGGAAATAAGTACTTCACCTGGAATATCTGGATCCTTAACAGGGAAGGTGTCACTATCAACTGGCTGAAGCTCTTAGCTAACCCGCAAGCCGTAAAATAAGATGGCCAGTCAAGGCTGCTCCGAACTGCTGCATTATTTGCTATTCGGGCAGGCGCAAATGCAGACCTCATATCCGCATTTCCAGGCTTACCCCATCGAAGAAACGAGTAGCCACAAATTATTTGCAGGTCAAGTTCTTAACCATATCTTAAATTTCACGCACATTCCGATAGAATCGATGTTGTTAAGGACACGTTCTACGCGAGACATGAGGAAGAGAGTGAAGAAAATATTCTCGAATATTCAACAATAAAGCAGAGCAACACCAACTTCCAACAAATCAAAGATCATGCAACCAAAGTGATTACGAAATTGGTAATCTACATTTACAACGGACCGCTGAAGCCTATCACCTGAAGCACATATCACGCTGCAAGCGTCCTGCTGTTGAAAGAACAATTGGATTCAAGCCAACACGACGTAATCAATGCTGCATTCAGAAGTGTAGTAAATCAGCGGAAATGGTGTTTGCGTAGGGAACTCGAAGTTTTACGACACAGAAAATATATCCGAAGATTCTACCAACAAACTGCGGAGATGAAAATGGCAATTTGGTTACTGATATCGAATGAGCATTTCTCCAAGTTTTACGCCCATCAGGTACCACTCATAAACGGCAATAGTGTAGACATCCTACCATCAGGCAGTGGCGAATCCTGAGTCAAAATCATGCGACTAAAGCAGAATAAAGCAGCCGGAGCTGGCGCTCGTGAAAGAAATATATACATATTATATATCGTTGGAAAGGTGACAGTCCGAACTGTAAATCAAGCATAAAATAACTTCACTTTGATTTGAGTTGCTTAGTGAAAAGACGCATGAAAGATGGACAACGAAAAAGATCATATGCGTCATATTATGTGATACGAATCCCGCTAAGGAAAAACAGTAGGCGCTGCAATTAAAGATATTCGCGAAGTTTATTTGGACCGTGCTTCAGCACTCCGCACAGTAAAGAAATCGTACGCGAAATTTCGTTCTGGAGATTTTAACCTCGAAGATCAACCTCGCAGTGGACGGCCTTCTGAGCTTGATGACGATGTTCTAGGGACTTTAGTTGCGAATAACTCACGTATTTCGAGGTTGCCAGTGAATTGAATGTCAACAAATCAACTGCGTTTCGTCGTTTAAAAAAGATTGGGTACACTTTGAAGCTCGCTATATGGGTGCCACATCAGCTGAGTGAAAAAAACAAAGTGGACCGTATGTCAACAGCAATTTCTTTGCTTCGATGGATCAAAAACGAACCTTTTTTGGATCGGCTCGTGACTGGTGATGAAAAATGGATCCTGTACAACAATGTTCAACGCAAAAGAACATGGAAACAGGCACACGAAGGGGCGGAACCGATGTCGAAAGGTGGATTGCATCCGATGAAGGTACTGCTGTGCATTTGGTGGGATGATATCCGAGGCGTGATCTATTTTGAGCTCCTGCCAGCTGGAGAAACGATCACTGCCAACAAGTATTGTCAGCAATTGGTCGAATTGAAGAAAGCAATTGATGAAAAACGTCCTATTTTGGTCAATCGCAAAGGAGTTCTTTTCCATCATGACAACGCCAGGCCACATGTTGCAAAACCGACTCTGGCCAAACTGAAGGAGATGAATTGGGAAATCATGCCGCATCCACCATATTCATCCGACATTGCACCTTCTGATTATCATTTGTTTCGATCGTTGCAGAACAATTTGAATGGAAAAAAATTTAAAAATGTGGAAGACGTCAAAAACCACCTTAACACATTTTTCAACGAGAAACCGCGCGATTTCTATGAATCAGGCATCTGTGAATTGGTTGAACGTTGGGAGTGGATTGCCGAACATGATGGCGAATACATAATTGATTAATAAAAGCGCTTTCTTCAAAAAATTTCAATTTTAATTTGCACTTGAAATCGGGCACGAACTTATGCACTCATTCATATAATCTAATATTAAAATCATTAAAGGACTAAATTCAATGTGGCCCAACAACGACCAAAAACTTAACTTTTCCTTTAGTTTTTTACAATTATAATATAATATAATAAGTGCACATAGATTTAAATTTTAATATTCATAGAAGTAAAATAGTTGAAAACGTCAACATGCGTGTAGAAACTGTAAAAAAAATTAATATTCATATAGTTGTATATATGTATATTAACAACACCGTTATTTTCTTAAACTCTTCTAAGTCTAAGTCACACACAAAATGTTTTTTTAATTCGTTTTCTAAGTGTATAAATTGCGTTTATCAAAAAAATTCTAAATGATCTTAAAGATTAATAACTTGAGCCGTCACACCTTTGACATTTTGTGGCAACAACACGACCGCAATAATTAATAATAACAAACAGATCGATAAGTTTCTCGATAAAAATTGCTCGCTCATTGCACAAGAATTCACTAATTACCGAATATATTTGATCACTAAATTTTTTTTAGATTTTTCTAAAGTAGGACTTAAATTATGGGTTTTTACAAAACGATTTTTGCCTTTCACGCTTAAAGTTAGCTTACAACTAACTCAACCGATTGTTCAAGTACTTCACAGAGCCATTGGCTGGTGATTTATAATAAACCGAAAAAACCCAGCTGACTGTGTGTGCATATGTTTGTTAAATAATAATAAAAGGAAACGCAATTGAAAGAAATAAGCGGAGAATGAATTTAAGTGCAAAAAAAAGCAATTTAGAATCGTAGAACAAAATTAAAAAAAAAAATAAAAAGTAATGAAAACAAAATTTAGAAATACCTGCTCTAAGCTATGCGCTTCAATGTGCTTCATGTTTGAAATTAGCCGCGGTTAATTCCCTCATTAAATCGTTAACTTTTTACCGCGCGCGTTACAGACACGTCCACTGCGTACCGCCCACCCGCGGGCAGTTCCGTTCCACCAGCATCAACTTACCTACCGATGCTTATAGCGCTCTTAATATGCCCAAACATACACACATCCATGTACATCCAGTTGTTAATATGCGTGTGAAGATAATTCAATTGACGTTTCAAATAGTAGACGATAACATCTTCATGCTACCGGCCACACTGCTGCTTTCCAGCTATTGTTATTATACAATACTTATGTACGAGCTAGCTTGCTAGCAAAACACTGAATTTTATGGTAGTACAAAATGAATGTGTTAAATGATATTAACGGAAAAACAACAAATGTTCTCACACGTGTTCAGTCAGGAGAACCCTAGAATAAAGGTTCGGTTGATTTATATTTCGCGCTCGCCAGTTCTTGGTTATCTCTGCATGAGAATGAACAATTTTAACTCACCTTTTAACAAGGAATATTTCCCAATCGCGTCATAATCACGTTGAAGTCCGAGTCCCAGCATTATAACTCAAACGTTACAGAAATTCTGAATCTTTGAACCTTCTCAACAAATTTTTAAACTGTTTTCCTACTCTCATTCAAAATTTTTGCAACTCATTGAGCGCATGAGTATGAGTACTTCTAAGGTCGTGTCGGAGCTTCTTTAATCAGTAGCACATTTTTTGTAGTCTGTCGTAAATTCCATCTGTTCTTAAGGTGTTATATGTGTTTCACTTCCCGAAAATGTTATCGTACATTTTCAAGTTGACCCGCATAAATTTTTTAACGATACAGCTTTGTGAAAGTGCGAGTTGAAATTTAAGGCATTTTTTCCCGAAATTGTGTTTTCAAAATCGATTGTCAAAACTTCGCGATTACTCAACCGAACTTGATGAATTTTTATACTGCCAAAAAAAAAAAAAAATTTTCACTTTTTCATTTTCTTTCGTCTAAATTTCACTTCATGGTTTCAATAAAACTTTTTTCTTTTCCACTTTTCACAAGCCTCTTTTGAATTCAGCTTCACACCACCAAGGGCATTCGCCACGGGCAGGAACAGGTGGTAATCACTTGGCGCTACGTCCGAGCTATATGGTGGATGCGATAAAACCTTCCATCTCAGCTCCCGTAGCGTCTGATGAGTCATCAACGAAGTGTGTGGTCTGGCGTTGTCCTGGTGGAACACTACACCCTTTCTGTTGGCCAATTCTGAGCGTTTCTAGTCGATCGCCTGCTTCAAGCGGTCCAGTTGTTCGCAGTAGATGGTAGAATTAAGCGTCTGGCCATATGGGAGCAGCTCATAGTGGATGATTCCCTTCCAATTTCACCAAACACACAGCAAAACCTTCCTGGCCGTCAATAGCGGCTTGGCCACTGTTTGGGACGATTCACCGGCCTTCGACCACGACCGTTTTCGCTTGATATTGTCGTATGTGATCCATTTTTCGTTGCCAGTCACCATTCGCTTCAAGAATGGGTCGAGTTCGTTCCGTTTCAGCAGCATATTGCAGGCGTTGATTCGGTCCAGATGGTTTTTTTGCGTCAAATTATGCGGCACCAAAACATCAAACTTTTTTTTTTGTATCTAGCCTTCTGCAGATGGTTCAAAATGGTTTGGTGACTAACTCCCATCTCCTGGGCGATGTCACGAGATGCCATATGCCGGTCTAACTCGATGTATTCCATGATTTGATCGGTATTTGTCGTCACAGGTCTTCCGCCGGCTGGCATATCCATGGTGTCGTTTTCACCGGCTCTGAATCGTCGAAACCATTCCTCCGCGGTTCGAAGTGATAGAGTACCATCCCACAAAACACCATTCATCTCACGGAACGTTTCTCTAGCGGAATTGCCTTTAACGAAGGAAAACTTGAAAATAGCGCGAATTTTGGCGTTAGTGAACTCCATGTTTACACGTCTATAACTGTTGAACGCAATATCCAAACTAATCATGCATAGCGTTGTTTTGTAGGTTATGTCAAGACCTTTCAAATTGTGTATAGTGTTGCCGGATAGCGCTTTGAACATAGCCGCGTATTTCAAAAGACAAAAAGCGGAAGGGAGAAATTTGACAACCTTATATATAACCAATTTTATCTTGCTTCGCACAGCGCGGAGAAATTAGAGAAAACCCAATCCAAAAGCAAACATTCCTTTGCTAATTTTACAAACGAGTATACATATAGGGTCACCATAAAAATGGAGATGTCACCATTCTTTGAATTATAACTCGTTTCATTCAACGCAGCTCAGCGATCTTTAAGGTGTTACCATACCTATAAAGGGAATGATACCAAAGAGAGAAATAATAATTCAACTCCAAGAGCATTTTCTTGACTACATCAAAAAATTTAATCTTAGGGTTAAAGGAATTTGAGTATCGAGGCAGTGAATGAATTAATTTTGCATTGAAATAAAAATATTTTGAAAAAAAAACAGCTTTGTTAAAGACCCATATCAAGGCCAATGAAGACGAACGCCCCATTTGCCACATAGATCAAACAACTATGCAAAAGGAAGGTCGGAATTGTTGCGGAAGATTTCGTAAATCGAGTGACTTCTAGAGATGATATTTTGAAATCTTTTTGCGTATTTTATCTGGTTTTCTGGGACAAATATGGCATCGCCAGAGTGTGTTCTATATAGCGCCCATTTTGGTTATAAGGCGTCCAGTTCTACTCTTTTAAAGCTAAAAAATTCCACGGTTGTCAATTCCTACTCTTGCGTCCACGTCGCGCACCCTGAAGACGTTAGCAACCCCTGTGCAAGATGCGGTAACCAAACCGAGTGGAGCCTCGGGTCACGGCTAATGAGAAAAGAAGCTCCAGTGGAGCCACTTCGATTTATTCGGTTTAAGGGGCTGCTAAACTCTAAGTCTGTTCACCAGAGGTGAGGCTGCGAGCGGGCGTCGGTCTTGGAGCAGGCACCTCGCTATATAAATATATAAAATAACTTTAAACTTAAAACCAGTTTCAATAAAAAATTTTACAACGCCACGTATGATATACCCCTTTCTAGTGATGACCCCCGCAACAGAATTAAGGAACACGATTTGAGGGCCTGCACCTGGAATGTCCGGTCCCTTAATTGGGAAGGTGCCGCTGCCCAGCTGGTTGATGTCCTCGTAAAAATAAAGGCTGACATCACCGCCGTCCAAGATGCGCGATGGATGGGACAAGGACGAAAGCGAGTAAGTTCTTGTGACATTTACTACAGCAGCCATATAGAGGAGCGCAAATTTGGTGTGGGTATCTTTGGTACGATCGTTGGAAAATTCAGCGCCTAATGGGTTGAGGCTGATCGACTTCACCGGGCTCCGAAATATGGTCGTCTGTAGTACTAGATTCCAGCACTTGGCTGTCCCCTGATCGAAAAACACAAAACCAGATCGATCGATCATGTTGTTATAGCGAAGAGACGCATGCGCCTCTTTGTATCGAAGAACGCCCGTTAACAAACACAAGGAAAGTTCAACGATGAAAAGCTGCAATCACAACAGACTGCCGAACGATTTTCTACTCGATTCGCAACCTTGCAATCGACCACAACACGTACGGGATGGGATGGATACCGAGGGATGAAGAGGGAAGCAAGACGCATCTGCAGACAAAAAAAGAAAGTAGCCGTGATGCATGAGTATAAAGAGCTCGAGTAGCTGGCCGGTAAGGATAAAGCTCGAGTAGCTGGCCGGTAAGGGTAAAGCTCGAATATTCTATGAGAAGATACGACGACTTACGGAAGGTTTCAAGACCGGAGCAAAAAAGGTAATATAGCCACTGATGCCCAGAGTATATTGAATTTATGTAGTAAACACTTCTCCAACACTCCTCTCCGAACCGTTTTGTACCAAACGAGGTTTTAGACAGGGTAACTCTTTGTCGTGTGATTTCTTCAATTTGATGCTGAATAGAGAAGGTACAATTTTCTGTAAGAGTGTACAACTACTGACGTACCCCGAAGATATCGACATTATCGGCCTTAACATAGTTCTGCTTTCTCCAGGCTTGATAAAGACACGAAGCGAATAGGTCTGGTAGTGAACGAGGACAAAACGAAATATCTCCTGTCATACACAAACAGTCATTGCATTCACGACTTGGTTCCCATATCACTGTTGACAGTCATAGCTTTGAAGTCGTAGATAATTTCGTCTATCTATAAACCAGCATTAACACCAATAATAAATCCAGCACAGAATCATCACTCCTGCCAACAGTTGCTACTTTGAACTGAGTAGGCAATTGAAAAGTAAAGTCCTCTCCCGACGAACGAAAACCAAACTTTGCAAGTCCCTCATCGTTCCCGTTCTGCTATATGAGGCGGAAGCATGGACGATGACAACATCTGATTAGTCGGCGTTAGGACTTTTCGAGAGAAAAGTTTCGAGTAAGATTTATGTTCCTTTGCGCTTTGGCAACGATGAATATCGCAGACGATGAAACGATGAGCTGTACGCGACATACGGCGGCATTGATATACAATAGTAAAGCGAATCAAGAAGCAGCGGCTACGCTGGCTAGGTCATGTTGTCCGAATGGATGCGAGTACTTCACCTTTGAAAGTTTTTTATTTTTTGTACTTCTGTATTGTAAATGTAAATATAAATTGGTTTTTATTTATTACTACTTAATGGAGTTTAAAATCACATTTTTGCACGGTTTTTTATAGAAATATTTAATTTTTATTATTATTTATTTAAATTTACATATGAATCATGTATTTTTTACACGGTGTAAAAAAGACTTTACTGTTTTTAGCCACGCTCCCATTTCCTCCTCCCGATTCCGTGGTTAAATCTTAGAATTTGAACCATCCCCTTCTCCCTCTTGGCCGAACTAAATGGTTTATGAACAATCTCATTGCGGGCTCAAAAAAAAAATTCAAAATCGCGTAGGAGTCCTTCTATGCTCGTAATTAAGTGTTAAATCCATTTCTGAGTTAATCGCAGCGCGTGAAAATTTAATAGTGAAAGATTAAAAAGCATTTAACAGCAAATAACATAAGAATTATTTTTTTTTTATTAGATTTAATTTACCAACAAATGTCCCTTTTCAATTGTGTAAAACGAAAACATAAATTCCTGTAGCCTATGTACATAGTCTATTGTTGCGAAAATGAGAGGCGAATGTCAGATGAAAGAGAGAAGCCGATAACTAGTACATTCTAGGAACGATAAAACGAGAACCTTCGATAGCGAACAACTCGATTATTCTACACTTTCGTCTACGAGCAGCCGACTGCCATATAAGGGCGACACTCAGCTGCCAAGTCAAGTTAGTTACAAAGTGAACTCGTTGGCGTTAACATCAGTATAGAGTTGTCAAGTAAACGCGTTGGGAATTACATTTAAGTAG